ATCCGATACGTTCCACTTTGGCAACGAAGAAGTTCGTGCGATTTTTCAAAAATGAAAGCAAACATAGCGATACAAACTATGTTTTAAATGAATAATCCACCAGCAAATATAATATATCTTCAACATGGCATGTTTAAGCTTTTAACAATGTATTATCGCAGTATGAAAAGCTTCTTTCTAGTATTATTGTAATTGCAACATATATTCGGTCGTATTTGGACTTTACACTCTTCCAGTCCTTGCGCCCATTCGTAAAAAACCTTAATACGCCTAAGAAAAAACTCTACTTAGTTATCTGTCAAAAAAAATTCTCATTTTCTTACGAAATATTTGAATTAGCAACCATCGTCGTTATCGCTTGCACGCACAAGTGGGGCGATATAAAAACTTATGTATCGTCTTACGAATCCGGCCTCGTGTGAACAGAGTGCATTTTTCGTATCGGATTGCTCAGCGAATCCGGTACAAGACGAATCCGGTATCGCGTGAACAGGGCCTAAATAGACATGCATGGCTACGTGTTTCAATATGTTCTCTGCTTTTGGAGTAAAATCACCTGAATTATGTGATAACGTCGTTAATCGATCTTATTTACTAGTGCTAGGCTGAGATACTAAAATACTAGACGTGTGAACGGTTGATTCGTTTTACATTATCCAAATGACAAACTGCACAACACATCATAAAAAGCCTACTAAAGTCGTCTACACGTATTTTTCGTCCTGAGCTTAAAAATAGCGCAATTACGTCCTGTTCCAGTCATTAGAGAGTTTTAGCAGAGCCTACGAGTACGACTACGAGTACGATTACGTCATTTTGGCGCGAAAACATTGTTGCGACAACAAAAACACGTAGCCGTCATCAATCTGAGTACGATGTTTTGTAAAAAATTCGTAGTCGCGACTACGATGTCTGTTTAAGCAAAGAAAGTAGGTATATTTCTTCATTCTGTAAGAAATTAGTTTACAGTACTATTTTCGAGCAACCAGGCTTTAATTTAGAACCCTTTTTGAGCGCAGATGTACATTAAAAAGGAAAATATGCCCTGCAAAACTTTCATGTATTTCGTACGCAAAGTGAAAGGTAAACAAACAATAAAATAGTACAAATATATGTTGCATAAAAATTAAAATAGTGAAGATTTTTCAGTCTAAAGAGTCCTATATTCTCGCAAAACCAGTATTATCGATTCTTTGATATCATTATTGACAAATAGAGCCGTAGCTGCTTCGCAAACGTCGGTGTTTTACACATTAAAAAGGCTCGTTCTGTTGTTTACAACTAAAGCAAAATTTTGACGAAGCGATAACGACAACAACCTTCCTCGTGCCATTCCCTTACACGGTCAAATTTCGTACTCGTTCTCGTAGTCGTACTCTTGCTAAAACCCTATTTGGAAATTATAAGTTGTAAAATACATTAATTCTTCGGTATATACGGCTGCATATAAACTAAAGGTAGTAAAACAGAGACTTTGTCTTGGTATAAAATTTAAATACCATGATGATTGGTATTACGTTAGTAATTAAGTTTTACGTTAGTATTTGGCAATTCACCACGCTATTTGTTCTTTTTAAGACAATTTTTAGTGGCATTGTCAGAGCAGAATAATTATTAACGAACTAACGCATTCCTTGCCAAATCAAAGTTAGTCACGTATGTTTTAGGAGTTGCATAAGCAGTTAAATTGCAAACATCGTCTCATATTCAACTTGTACTATGTCTTTAGTTCAAGAAAAGATTACTTGGAGCCTAAAAGTCTATTGTGCTCAAGACATCAAAAGCTATTCATTCACATATTGCCAACACTGTTAATTTGGCAGTTGGTGTAGGTGGTGATCTAATTACGACACATGAAACTTCACGAATCATGAATATACTAAATTTATATACACGATGACTTTTTTTAGAATAGACATGTTTCGACATCTCATGATGCCATCTTCAGTATGAGTGAGATAATAAATGATACAAGGTTTATATACAATTAATATGATACAGAAATTACAACAATAAAAAGGAAATAAGATAAATTAATGAAGAGCGTCCGAGCGTATTATAAACTAAATATTGTATTGAATTTAAAAACTTGAACATTGAGGTCAGGGTTAGTTTTGTTAATGTGGAGTGCTTCTTTGATTTTAAGAGAGAATGAGGTGTCGGCAGTGTCGATGATTTTGAAGCAAGAGGGTGAATAGTTGGTTTTACATGAGTGAAATTTAAGGTGTCGGTAGCTATGAGAGTTTTTGTCTGTTGTGGTATGTTCCCTAATTCTGGTGGATAAATGGCGCGAAGTTTCGCCAATGCATCGGGAATTACATCCCGCGCAATTTAATTCATATACCACCATAGATTTAATTGAATCAGGGATTGGGTCTTGGAATGAGAAAAGGTTTTTGATTTTGAATGATGTGAAAATTAGTCGAATGTCAACACCTGTACAGAAGCGTTTCATAATGTTTTTAAGTCTACGTTGTGTGTGTCGTGAGTAATGTCCGATGTATGGTAATTTGAAGTATAGACTTGTTATTTTGGAATTTTCATTTGTGTTGGTCGTGATCGTCGTGTCAGGAGTTTCGGTGTCTAGTTTGAGGTTGTTGCTTTGTTTGTTGTCGAGATATCGTTTTACGGTTCTGTTAATAAAGTGTAGTGGAAAAGAGTTTCGTAAAAGAGTGGATGTGATGTTTTTTATGTCTCGTTGAAAGCCATTGTTCGTATTGTTAAGTTTGTATGCTCTGTCGATTATTGTGCGTATAAGTCCTGTTTTGTATAAAAGTGGTGTGAAAGTAAAATAGTTCGTCAGAAGTCCTGTGTATGTTGGTTTGTGATATGTAGATGTTATACAGCTGTCATTGGATTTTGTTAGTAAAATGTCAAGAAATGGCAGTTGATGTTGCTGTTCAGTTTCAATGAAAATCTAATGTTTGCGAGCTGTGTGTTAATGTAATTATAAAACTTCGTGGCCTCAGTTTCGTTAGTAAAAACACAAAAAATATCGTCAACGTATCTGCGGTAAAATAGTGGTTTAGTGTCGTTGTTGTTTAGCTAGTTTCGTTTATGTGAGCCCATGAAAACCTTAGCAAGTGGGGTGCTAAGGGAGAGCCAATCGCAACACCGTCCGTCTGGTCATAAAATTTTCCATTAAATAAAAAATGCGTCTGTGCTGTTGCTATTAAAAACAGTTGTGTGAGGTCTGTCGTGTTTATACTGAACCTGGGGTTGTGAGTGAATATTAGGTCAATTGCTATGTTGATGGTTTCAGTAAGTGGTATGTTAGTAAATAGGCTTTCAACGTAGTAGGAGATGAAGAATTTGTGACAAGAAGTTGATGAGTTGAAAGATGAGAAGTCGTCGAGGAAAGTGAAGGAATCTTTAGTGGAGTGGTCATCTGGTATGAGTGGTGTTAGTAGAGAACTAAGATACTTAGCTAAGTTATAATTGTATGCGTTGATTGATGAAACTATCGGTCGTAGTGGAGGCGATTGTTCTGGTTCTCGTTTCTTGTGAAGTTTCGGTAAGCCATAGAAGCGTGAGGGCTGAGAACCTCTGGTTGAAAACTTCATGGCCTCAGTTTCGTTAGTAAAAACACAAAAAATATCGTCAACGCATATGGCCATGAAGTTTTATAATCACATTAACACACAGCACGCAAATATTAGATTTTCATTTGAAACTGAACAGCAACATCAACTGCCATTTCTTGACATTTTACTAACAAAATCCAATGACAGCTGTATAACATCTACATATCACAAACCAACATACACAGGACTTCTGACGAACTATTTTAGTTTCACACCACTTTCATACAAAACAGGACTTATACGCACAATGATTGACAAAGCATACAAACTTAACAATACGAACAATGGCTTTCAACGAGACATAAAAAACATCACATCCACTCTTTTACGAAACTCTTTTCCACTACACTTTATTAACAGAACCGTAAAACGATATCTCGACAACAAACAAAGCAACAACCTCAAACTAGACACCGAAACTCCTGACAAGACGATCACGACCAACACAAATGAAAATTCCAAAATAACAAGTCTATACTTACTCACGACACACACATTACTCACGACACACACATTACTCACGACACACACAACGCAGACTTAAAAACATTATGAAACGCTTCTGTACAGGTATTGACATTCGACTAATTTTCACATCATTCAAAATCAAAAACCTTTTCTCATTCAAAGACCCAATCCCTGATTCAATTAAATCTATGGTGGTATATGAATTCAATTGCGCGGGATGTAATTCCCGATGCATTGGCGAAACTTCGCGCCATTTATCCACCAGAATTAGGGAACATACCACAACAGACAAAAACTCTCATAGCTACCGACACCTTAAATCTCACTCATGTAAAACCAACTATTCACCCTCTTGCTTCAAAATCATCGACACTGCCGACACCTCATTCTCTCTTAAAATCAAAGAAGCACTCCACATTAACAAAACTAACCCTGACCTCAATGTTCAAGTTTTTAAATTCAATACAATATTTAGTTTATAATACGCTCGGACGCAGGGGCGGATCTAGGATTTTTCATATGTTAGTCAAAAATTTATGACGTCATATGTGGCCTCAAATATGACGTCATAGATGACATCATACATTGTATCTTATGCAGCGATTTATAAAACTTTAGCGATCATAAAATTGCGAAAACTAAGATGAATTCCCTTTAATCAGATGATGACAGACTGTTTCGCCCAATATCAGGGCTCTTCAGCATGCCTAGGATGATGCCCCAAATTTCAAAGCATCATCCGACATGGACAGCGCTTTAAAGAGCCAAAGCCAGCAATCTGGTTATTGCATAGAATTAAATGCATGTCCTTTATACATAGGTACATCAACAATTTTATCTATAAACTAAAAAAGAATTTAGATGTAGAAAGGCAAAATTTAAAAAATTCTCATGATTTCAATTAAATTTAAATCTAGTGTTGCCAACAGAAAATTTATCAATTACGCGTTACACATCTGGAAGAATTTCCTGATGAATTTTCATTGGAGCAAGACCATTTAACCGTTCCTCAACCATAGTACTCCGCTTATAATCTTTAAGAATTCGCAGCGCTGAAATCGAACGTTCACATTCGCATGAAGTTATGGGAAGGGTTCCTAATATTTGAAGTATGACCTTTATGTTTTGAAAACCATCAAAATTTATAGCTTTTAAAGTTGTAGCTACATTACATGGATAAGGACCTTTACGATGTTCCCAGAAGGATTGCCATAATAATAACTCTGCATCTAAACCTAACTGATTGGGTAAATCAGCAACATAAAATTTTGAAACAATCTTAAATTTATGTCTCCAGTCAATCCCATTTTTTATAAGAGAAAACATTTTTGTTGGAACAATACTTAGTCCTTGATAAACATTTACACTTTCCGTGTCAAATCGCGCATCCAAAGACGAGAGAAGATGGTCAATTAAAGGAATCGTATAGATTCGTTTGTAATACTCCGAGATAGAACGATAAGGAGCGTTAGGCCTTGTAGTTTGCCTTCCAATTGTCCTACGTTTACATTCTTCTACCCTAACCTTTGCCGCTAACGTCAAAGCAATGTCGTACCATTGATCATGATATGAATCAATAGAATTACTCACATGTGCAACACTGCTTTTCAAAGAAGAGATCAACTCAATCCCGTCCATAACATCAATACTCTTTCCTTGCAAAAGCTGAGTAACAGGAAGCGTTAGATCAAAACATTTCTGGTAATAACCAAGAGGGCGATAAAATGAAACTCAGAAAGACCTTCAAGCAAAGAGGATGCATCAGCAGCGAGAGGGACTGCCACCTTTTGCCATGTTATCCAGTGTGTCAAAATTTGAACAAACAATTCTTCGAAAGTGTCTAAACCTTTAACTCGTTCTACCCATCTGGTTCTACAAACATCTGGCAATCTAGTCTTTTTTGAGTCCGTTTCTAAACTATTGCGTACAGTCTCCTCAAACGGTATATTGCGTGTTTGAGAAATATTGATAAAATTTGTCACATCTTTTATTTTGTTAAGTACTTTCTTAACCTCAATATCTGACAAAGAATCACAAACTGACAAATTAAGCCTATGACTATAACAGTGGGTATATAATGCTTTCGAGTTGAGCTTCAAAATTTGGGCAGCCAAACCTTTAACACAACCTGCAACAGCACCCGCACCATCATAACCTTGTCCGCGACAGTCTTCAATTGGCAAGCCAAGGTCTTTAAGTTTATCTAGAATTAATTTAGCAAGGTTCTCTCCACTCAATCCCCACTTACATTGAAGAAAGGCAATGAACTCCTCTCTTATGTCCATATTCTTATCAATAAAACGTAAAATTAGAGCCATTTGCTCTCTATGGGAAGAATCTGCAGCCTCATCAGCTATAATAGAAAAGAACCTATTAACCTTAATGTCGTTGACAATCTGTTCAGTAATAACCTCTCCAAAGCACTTGATCATTTTATTCTGGCTGGTCTTAGAGATGTAACTTCTATTTTTCCCACAAGATGTTAAGTGATCCCTTAAAACACCATCCCCTGAACGAACTTTAAAATTTAGTGTCTCCACAAAATTTCCAACACCCCCGGTAGAATACTGACCAACCTCTGGATGATATTTAGCATCATCACGGTGGCCACGCAAAGGCAAACCTAAACGACCACAAAAAAGAATGCAATCAGCAATAGAAGACAGCTTACATTTGTTCTGATCGATTTCCTTTTTAAGATTTCTTTCTAACATGAGCTCTATTGGTTGCGCAGACCCTGACATTTGAGCACGTAAGGCAAATAAAATTGGATTTGTTTGGGCATGCAACCCCACTTCTCCTTCATCATGGCGTTTAAAAGTAAATGCAGCATCATTCCAGCGTGAAACCGGTTTAGAAAACAAATTTGTAATCTTAGAAGCTTTACCAGGGAAGCGATGACCAAAAAGCACGCATGACAAACAAAATGCACCATCTTTTGATGGGGAGTAGCATAGCCAGTCATATTTTTTTAGCCAGTCATATCTAAAGCTCCTACCACCGGTCTTAGGAAAGGAAAAATTCTCATCAGGCCTGAAAACATTTTTAATCAATTGAAGAACACCAGAAGTCTTTAACTTTATCCTGGTAAGTTGCAACATCAAAATTATGCACAGAATGATACTTCTTTTCTGGACAAGATTGACTAGCGGAGGACTTAATTGGTTGTTTCAACGTGATATAAGAAGGAACTTGTTTGGCAGAAGAAAAAGTTTCATTGGGCTTTTTCAAATAACTTGGATGGCTGTTTTCTGATGCAGTAAAAAGTTAGAAATAATTGGAATATTACCAGAAGGAAATTTTGCCACCTTCTTGGAAAATAAGGAAGGCACCTTACGTTTTTGCTGACGTTGTGGCTTGTGTAATGTCAGCAGACTTTCGCTTGTGTGCACTTGCATGAAAAGAAGAGGGACAAAATGGTTAGGCTGAAATGATTCTCCAGTTCTTATGTCACCTTCATGGCAGAATAGAATATGAATTTTTTTCAACCCTAGTAGTATGCAAGCGGGGTTGAATAACACGATTAAATAAAAGTTTGAGCCTGTGTTGTCCACAATCCGGATAATATGTAACAATACATCTTTTCAAAACTGAAGACAGACCCAAAATACAAAGAAATGATGACCATTTACCATCATTGCAATTAAAACAGCCTCTTTCTTCACTAAATTTTCCTTACTAGCACCGGTATCTAAGGACTCAACAGAGACAGATAAAGGTAAAAGATTTTTATACTTCCCTTAAAAAATCAGGATGCTCTTCAATGGCACAAAAAGCAGGGATGCTCACAGTAAAATGAGCATTCAGGAAAAGCTCAAGTGAGGTTAAGATTCTTAAAGTTGGAACCAATCTATCATCACCAAGCAGAGACAAAGACACGGAACTGTACAAGCAATTCCCTGAAGCTTCTGATCTAAGAAAATACATGAAGCTGATGATGAAAGAATTTTGGGTTTGGTTCCAAAATGTTCTATATATGACATTATTTGATAAATGTATTATATAATCATGTTATAATCTTATTTAGTTTTATTGAGTAATAAAATAGCTAACTGACAATAAAATCTCGCGTAAATATGATATTTACTTTATGTTTTATATTGACAAAATCTACATTCTCTATATGAAATGTGTAATAGTGCTGACAACTATAAGCAGGGAATGAATATAAGTAATTCAAATAGGATAGTTAATAGTAGAATTATAAAGAATCAAGGAATAATCAACAAGCAGGTTGAACTGAAAATTTGACAAGTTTATCTCACTGTACATTCATAAAGTTTTAAAATGCGAGTCTAAAACCACAAAAATCAGCAAGTTGAAAGGTTGATGAGATTTACACAACACAAGTGACCTGTAATATACAACCAGACGTTTTGCTGGCAACTTATAGCAAGCAGACTTTGTATAGTGCTTTCGTTTTGGAAACACAGCACAATTAAGCAAAAATGCTTAACTTCCCTTGAGATTTATCTGCCTGCCAGCAAACCGTGCGAACGTAAACAAGGCAAGTCATCAATACCGTTTGTATGCATATTTACATTCTTACATATTATTAGTGAAATATGAGAAAAATTGTACAAAATGTATAGCTCAAAGCTATGCACGATTTTTCCTTTTGATTTCGAACAGCCAAAGGAATATAAGTTTCCGCGCAATAATTTCTGCTAATGCTGTTTGACGAGCTACTTATGGCACCCAATAGTTGCTCAAGCGATATCTCATCTTGCTCATTTAGTTGCCTGGCAAGATCAACATAAAAACCTGCCAAAATTTTACAATCATCTGCCGCAAAGGCAGCTTGAACAACACCGTAATCCATATCAGATACAACTGAAACTTTTTTAAACAAAGCGTGATTGCAATTTTGCGATGTAGCGAAAGATAAGACCTTCAAAATAAATGACCCCCCGCTGTGAATTAGTCAAAGTATCAAATAGCGTAAAATAACAAAGTAAAAATACTAGTCGATAATATAAAATATGATTGTTAGAGCCCTTGAAAGTCGTCAATCCATCAGGCCTCCCCACAGATACATCAAAACTGCATGTTTCCATGGCAATAGGCGAATTGACCAATGAGAAGACTAAGATTTGACTTTTTGATGGATCTGTGGGCTTGAGATCATATTTGAGGCTAATTACATAGCTTTCCTTAAAAAAACGCTGTACACTCAGGCCATTAATTAATTCTGATCGTTATGCTTTCGTTTGGCTTACGATATGTGATAGTTGACTTAATTATTCATTAATTTTAGTATGTTTCATGAATAATTAATCACCATTTCATACGTTCGTCGCGTGATGGATTTGATGACCCTTAAATCCGCCCCTGGTTTATAACTCCCTCGTTATATTATTATTTTTGCTTACATTTTACGAAAGCAATAATTGATATGTGTTTAAACTATTGAATGCTAAAATCGATGATTTTTAACGTTAAGTTTTCGTCATAGAACCACTTTAAAGTAAAGACTGGCGCTTCCGTTTTATTTAAGTTTTCGACAATAGAATCCCATACTAATCCCCGATTAGGGCTTCTCTTTTTGTATTGAAACAGATCACTAACCATCATTTCTCTCATCAACAATAAATCGTGCTCATCTGTCCACTCCATTTTCTTTGAATTGTCAGCCATATTAATTTTAGAGAGGTTTTAGAGGCAACCTTCAAACAAGTATTTTCACGTCGGCGCAGAGGCCCGACGGGGTAAACAAAATACATACAACGCAGAACGGAAATAAAAACAACTTCCTCTTGCCGTTGCCGTCCAGTAAAACGTAGTTGCTTAAGCTCTCTATTACTTTCCTTCGTTGAGACGATTTCCTCAAATAGGGACCAATCCATTGAAGCAGCTCCTCGAATAGTTTTGGTGTCATTCGGAAATATGTAAGAAATACAACTTGATCATATAACCAAAGATCTTTGATCAGTCGATTCATTTCTCCTTTAATATCACGTTCTCTGTAGAGTTTTCGCACCCAGACACTTCTTATACTTATCTCTTCGATTGAGCCTCCTCTTAAGTAAATACAAAATTCGTTTATTTAAAGCCGCCATATTGTTAATTTTGAAACAAGCTCGGTTTTCTGAAGAAACATAGATTACTACAATGGAAATTGGTGCAGGAACTTTTTCCGTCAATTGTAGAGAAATATTTCTTTCTACATAAAATTTTCAATAAGTGGAAATCCGCCTTTACGGTGTTGTACCAAACAAAATTAATTCTTTATAGCAAACAACAAAAAAGTAGATAACATAACGTTAACTAAACGACAACCTGAATGTATTATACTGTAGTAGCTACTATGCTTCAAAAAAGCTCTTCAAAATTAAAAGATTGCGTAAGATCAATCCAACCGCAGCATACATGACATTAATATCAACTTGCTTTGATGCTAGAGAAGAAGTTGCCGCCAACATGGTGGAATGAGATATGTAATTTGACGTTTCAATACCCGTCGTGTTACGAAATTGCCTTACACAGTTTGAGACGGTAGCTTCTTAGACAGGTTTGTGCCCATATTGATAAAGCTAATTAGCAGTTGTTGTTCTTGTCGTTGTGGAACAATTGTTTTTTTCGCATATTGTTTGATATTAGCTAGTTGCAATACATAAATTCCTTTCATTTTTTTAATGGAAAAACTGTAAGGGCTGTTGGTGCACTGCTTTCATAGTGTGTTTCAACTTTGAGAAATTTAATATTTTTTTTATTTTATAAAACAAAAACGTTAATCTTTTAGTGAAGTCCTTTAGTCATTTAAGTGATATTTCCTCAAGTGATTATTGTTGTATAATAAAGTTGAAGACATAAGTTACATTCCAAATGCTTTTATAGTTTGGCGAGGCCTGTCTCTTTTCAAAAACATCCTTCATTAATTTTTAAGTACAGGTAGATGTCCAAAGGAAACGTATATCTTACAGCTTATGAAAGAAACGTGCTTACATCAAAAAAATCCGTTTTCGAATTTAAAGGCTTCTATTTTATCAATTTCAATCAAGAGGTTGTGACACTTCACATGTTTGACTGCGTGATAACTTGATACCTTATAACCTATAGTAGTTAACTAATATATCATCGCAGGCTCATATTTTTTATTATAAATTGTATTATGTCTAAAAATAGTCATAAAACAATTTATAATAAAAAGCAAGGGGGTTCGTTTTTGAGGCAGTCAGCGGTTATAAACATAAAAAGAGAGTATTAGCCTGCAATAATTTACATATATAAATAAAAATCAAGTGTACTAAGAAAATAAGATAAAAATAAAGCAAGCATATATTTAAAAAAGGTATATTTACTATACAATACACAATATTTCAATGACAAAAGTCCAAACTCAAATTTTTAAACGATATTAAAGAAAGTGCAAAGTTTAATTTTATAATGATGGAAATTTTTCTTTATAATCATCGTCAATATCATATTCATTTCAATATACCCTTTAAAAAAAAGTATATATGTTAAATATATAAGTTTAACAATGTTAATAAATAAGTACTTAAATGTCCTTATCAAAAAATCCAGATCAAATTTCTTTTGTTTCTTTTTAAAGTAAAAAGTTTTTTGTTTTAACGACTGTACATAATTCAAGAAGTCTTGTTTTTATTTCACCATCTTCATTCATTTTTTTATAGTTTCTTCTACTTGTTTTTCAACTTCTTCAATGAATTTAATTTCTTCTTTTATTCCTTACTGTATTTCCTTGTTTTCTTTGCAACAAAAGCTTACATGAAAATAAACTCATTCTGATAGATTTTTTGGTAGTAAATCCAGGGAAAAAAGAAACTTCAATTGATGATTTTGATATTTTATACATGTAAAACAATATTTATAAAATAATTTTCTATATTTTTCATATGCAACGGAATTTTTGTTTTCATTCATTTTCGTGAATAACCAAAATAAATCAAATCAGTCATAAAAATGTTTCAATAAACTGCTTTTTTCTTTTTTTTAATTTCTTTCTTCTATGTCCTTCTATTTCTGTTTCTTTTTTCTTCTTCTTCTTTTATTAACTTCATTTAATAAAATAAAAATTTTCTTGACTCTCAAGATGACTACCGCTATTGTCGAAACGGCAGTCAACAACAACTAAAACAGTCCTTCACAAGACTATATTATCCTGTGTTCTAGTGAATGGCTTTTTGATTTTAAGTGTTTCCTTTTTTTATTTGTTTAAAAATCCAATTTTTTTTTCTTCTTCAATCACTTCCATTTTTTTCAAAATATTCTTTTTCTTCTTTGTTTTCTCTGCAGCAAACGTTTGCATGAATATGAGTACGCTGTAATTGAGTTGGTATTTTATATGAATTATAGAGAATTTTATGTTTATAATTTTGGCACGAAGTACAAGAAAAGTAATAGCTTTAAAATACTACTCTTTATATTGCATTTATGAAGGCAAAAGACATTGAATTCAACTTTTATGTCTCTATTAGTTCTCAATAAAAAATAGCAAAGTTTTAGTTTTATATAATTTTGTAATAGTATAAAGTTTTTCTTATTTTTCCATTGTTTAAATACTTTTTGAATTTTTTTCTATCTTTTTTTTTCCAATATGATTAATACGATTGATAATAAATTCATTAAAAGATAATCCACTTATACATTTATAATTATTTGGTAAGCTATATATATATATAAACATTTACTACAATTAAACTCAGTTAAAAATTCATATATTTTACCATTATATTCATATATTCATATATTCATATATTGCTGCTTCTCTTAACTCTATTGATTTAAAATAGAACACAATTTTAAAAGAGCAGAGGATTCAAAACATTCTGGTATTGTTGCAAATTATTCTCAATTTATGTCAATATGCTCAAGAAAAATGATAAAATTTATTTCTCAATGACATCATATACTGAAACATCCAATTAATTAGAAAACTCTTTCACAACATAAATAGCTTTAATGTCAATAGTATTTTC